ATGGATGAATGAATGGATATATAGAAGGATGGATGAATGAATGGATATATAGAAGGATGGATGGATGGATGAATGAATGAATGAATGGATGGATGAATGAATGAATTAATGACTGAATGAATGAATGTATAGAAGGATGGATGGACAGACAGATGGTGACTGAATGATCCAGTCCACAGTAAGGTGTCTTAATTCTTCCTGTGAGCTGAATGATGTGTTCAGGTGTTTGGTAAAATCTGTACCAGTTTGGTCTTATTAGAAAACAGACCTCAGACTTATTAATATCAATTTATATGTTGTTTATGGTTTATAACAAGATGTGCTGCTTAATGACAGATTGGTTTTACAATTTTAAAGAGAGATTGCTATGTAGTTAGAGTAGTATGACTTGTATCTGTCACATTGCTTGTAAACAGAGAACTGATCCTCGGTCAGTCTTAAGCTGATTACCACTCCGTCACATTCAGTGGACTTCAGCTCCTCAGCTTCAGTTCAGTTTGTTAAGGCGACACTTTCCGTTATTAGCTTTTATTAGCATCATCCACTTTATAAATTACCAGATTATATCACAGCAACATGTAGCAAAAACAAACCCCAGCGCACAGACCTGAGAGGATGGAGTCTGGTGGGAGGAAGCCGAGTCTCTCCACCGGTCAGTCCCCCTCCCTCCTCCTCCGCTTCCGGCCACACCGCAACCCGGCGGGAAGCCGGACCCGGGTTTACTTTGATTCGGTTAAATTCAGGCTTTAGCTCCGTCTGTTCTCTGCCTCCCGGTATTCCTTAACGGTCCGCCGTGATTTGAGCGTCACGTTGCGTAAGGATGGAACGTCAAGACGCTACGGCGCTTTTAGGGTTCGGACAGCTCGTGACCCCCCACTTAGGCGATGCGTCATGAGTCCGCCATATTGTGAGTGGCAACTTTGTGTTTAAGAGTTTACATGAAGCGGGAAAAGTATGCTTGGAAACTGTATTTGTTCAATAATAATAAGTTTGCATTTAATAAAATTAGATTGATCACCTGAATTACCCAAACTGGCATAATTACAAATAAAAGCGGAAATATAAACACGCATAAAATGCATCACTTATTTTTTAAAAAAAGGCAAACTTCACATCTAACAAAATCAAAAACAAAAGTAGAAATGCAGAAATAATAAGGTTCTACAAACCAAATCAATTAATTAAAAAAAAGAATTTGTAAAACAAACATGTTAATTTCCCTCTGAAATTGTAAAGAGCAACTTAATTTAATTAAACTAACATTGGTTTTGCTACTTTCTTTCCAAATATCTAAGTTTATAATCTGATCAATGGCTTAGCTCATGTATAAAACCCAAATTTTGTATCTGGGTTTTGCAATACAACCCATATATCCCTTACTGGGGCAGTTTATGGTTTGGTTATATTAAAAAACCAGACAGCAGGGGTAAGTGATGCTTAGCCAAAGAGTTTATTAAATTTGTATGCTGAATTTAGAAACCACATTACAGATTTCATATTCAATATTGTACAAGCCATCAATTTGAAGAGGTTTAGACACAGTATACTGAATTAAATTTAACTTTTGAGACATTCCTTTGTTTATTTAAAGAGATTTAACAGCCAGATCGAATATTTATGGAAATTAATTCATAATAGCAAGGTTTGAAACAAGTTTAGGTAACAGTATATTGAGAGGCAAATGCATGCACAGGTTTGATTCATTGAATAATTCTTATGTAGCTTGTAAATTGCTTTTAAGCAGTGATATATTTGGCGCTAGTGAGGCTTACAGTATTCAGACACTAATGATAATAACACACAGTAAATCTAAAACAGATGTTGAACTGCTGAACTCGATGATGTAGAAGAAAGAGGTGGGCAATCGTTTTAAAAACAACTTTTCAAGATGAGGATCGTTGAGTAGATAAATATACCATCTAACCTACTCTTAGAATTTCACAATTTCATTCTGTAATTTTAAGACTTTTTTATCGTAATTTTACAACTTTATTCAAGTGATTTTATGATTTTATTCTCGTAAGTTTACAGCTTTTGTTCTCAATTTTCTGATTCTGGTAATTTTACAACTTTAGTAAAAGTAAGAGTGAAAGTCCTAAAGTTACAATTTCTGACAAATTTTACAATTTTATTGTAAAATTGTACAATAAAACTTTTATAATTTTCTCCTAGTAATTTTACAAAATTTCTTCTCACATTATTCCGACTTTAATCTTGCAATGTTGAGTTTTTTCTAGTGATTTTTCGATTTTATTCTTGCAGTTTTATTTATTTTCTAACATTTTATTTTAGCGTGGACCTAATACTCTGTCGAATTTTGCAATCTGATATTGAAAACATTCATATTGTTGTAATTTATTGTGCTGCTCAAGTCTAAATGTACTAAATGTTGACAACTATAAATTTCCAGAAGTTATAAATTGTGGATTGGTCCACTGCCCACCTCTCCCAGTAAAGTTCCTCCAGTGTTAAACCATTTTTGAAATCTAAACAGGAAAAAAAATAGCTGCACAGAAACTACATAGGTCCAGAAGCCTGATTTTAACACACACACAGAAACCCAACCAATAAACCCAAGAAATGAATATTTCAAGTATAAAACTCTGGGAAACACTGTCCCCGATAAGCTGTTCCACCCTGGAAGTGAAATATGAGAGGCACTGCTCCCGATAAATACACACAAACACAAAAAATACACAGAAAATGGTAGACAAAAGCTACCGTCATTGGTCGGCATTATGGAAGACGCTGCTCCCGATAATGGATATTAATTATGGAAGGCACTGCTCCCGATAACGCCATGATCCTAATACGTGCTCCAACGCAGACAGTGCAAGATAAACGGCTTGTTAGAAATTATGGGACCAATTAGAGCCTTAAGGTTGCACAGAATCATTTTACCAAATATTGACTTTAAGTAATTAGAGCAGGGGTGTCCAAAGTGTGGCCTGGGGGCCATTTGGGCACATGGAGTGATTTTGTGTGGCCCCCAACTGCAATTAAAAAATGATACAAATTTGGCCCAGAGATGGAGAGTTTTAATTTGTAATATGGGTTAAATTATTACCAATATAATTTTCCTATAAACTTTCATCTTTTTATATCCAGACTTTTCCTGAAAAGCCAAATTTGCTTCACCTAAATTAGATTTTATTTTTTAATTGAATTTGGCTAAGAAGAAAGTGACCTAAATTCTGTCATTATTACAGAAAATAAAATTATTCAATCAAGTTTAGACAAAACTGAAAACAGCAAACGTCCAAAATCTACAGCAGTGTATCAAGGTCATCGAAGAGAAAATAAAGAGTAAATTTCTGCCAAAAAATTCAGAAATTTTGAGATGATTCTCGCAAAATTTTCTACAAAAACCTTGAAAATTTCTGTGTTATTTCTTTTTAAATTTTGCTGAGAAAATTTCTGAGTCTAATCAATACATTTATTAAGTTTTTTGGTGAAGATTTACTGCACCTTTCATTTATTTTTATTATTTATGATAGCTTTAATACACTGTCATAAAAATTCTTTACAAGTTTTGAAACAATACAATAAAATAATTTAAAAAAATAAAAATTGCGCTACTTTCTTTACTTGGATTTTTTGGACTTTTGAGTCGACAATTTTGACCCTCGAGACAAAAACTTTGGACACCCCTGAATTGCTCAGATCCAGAAAAACAATTTGCAAATTTGGTTTGATTTTCTATATTTTGTTTCTCCCAGCAAGTTTTGAACGTTCAAACGGGAGACGTGCGAGCCAGGAAGGTGAAATCCTAACGCTATCCGATGCTCCGTTTCCTCCGATGCTCCGTTAGGGAGTCGTCGTTGTTGTAGCAGATGCTGCTGTGGCTTTCGACAGTATAACCGTCATAATTATGGAAGGCACTGCTTCCGATAATGCTGTATAAAAAGACAAACAATAAATATAGTGGGCACTGCCACTGATAAATATCAAAGAACTAAAAGTATAAATAAGGTTTCAGTGCTTTGAGGAGGCGATTTGTTTAAGGTTCACAGTTGTTGTTTTTTTCTAGATTTTGTGACTCGCTTGTGCTTCAGGTATTTAAACGTTGGAGCACTATAATTAACCTTCATGCAGCTTCACACACATGCTCAGATTTCCTGTTTCCAGCTTCAGATTTCGTTGTCTATGTCCCAGACGTTGGCGGCCATGGCGTTGGCGCTTCCCTGCAGGTTCCAGGTGGCCAGAGCCAGGTGGAGGGGGAGCTTCTCCATGTCCTGCGTTTCAGCGATGGCCGCCAAGGTGTGGGGGCCGCGGCCCAGCAGCAGGTGGCGGAACGGGGCCTCGACAACGGAGACATACGGAGAAAGGAGGGAGTGCTCAACCTGAGAGAGGACAGACAGAAAAGGGTTTGGTTTTATCAACAATTACATTCAATTCAATTCTGAAATACCTTACTTATTCTAATAAATGTCATAACAAAATCTTACCAAGTAATTTTGGTCTAGTTTCTGGTGCACATGTCTTATTACACTTGAAATAATCTTACTTAATATTTAAGTAAATAATTCCTTAAAAAAGTTCTAGTTTTACTGGCAGATTGTTATAACGTGGGAAAAATATCATAAGTGAAATAATCTGCTCATGGAACTAGAACTTTTTCATCAATATTAATGAATTATTTACTTAAAGCAACCCTCTATATCTCGCTGTAAAGTTACTTTTGAGTTAGTTTGTCTTATTTCAAGTTTATTCATTTTTACACTAGAAACTAGACCAAAAATACTTGGTAAGATTTGTGTTTTTGCAGTGAAAGGTGAGAAGGATCTATGATAGCAGTCAGTCTCACAACGACCCTGAAGAGGCCTCTGACCGACAGTCGTATGACAAAATGTGTTCTCATTACACAAAACTTTATTTATATTCAATGTTTGTGTTGAAAAAACACAATCTTGCCTTTACGACGTTTCAATTGTAATGGCAAAAAATGGAAGCTAAAGGGTTTGGAAAACATCTGGCCACAGCTGTGGTTTGGTTTGCAGCCAGTGAGTTACACAGCAAACCACAGCTGGACCAGAGAGGTGAGAAAAAATACAGAATCAGAACAAGAGTTTCTACTTCTGCAAAACGATCTCATTGCTTAAATAAACCGCAGCGAGTAATCACCGTCCGTTACGATCTGCAGCGATCTCACCTTCATGATCCTGTCGTTCAGGATTCGACAGGATTCCTTATCCGTCAAGTCCGTGTTGGCGATGGCGCTGGTGATGGCGTCGGCCGCTCGCTTGTAGGAGCTGCGGGCGCGACTCAGCCAGTTGGGACTGACATCCTTCAGCTGACCGGACTGGAAGGAAGAAAACACAGATGAACACTTTTAGGGAACAGATCACAGGTGTCGGACTATGAATGTCCAAAAAGGCCTGGTTGAGGCACAATGTACTTATAAAACTACCTGTTAACAAACTGTTACAATTCATCTGCATTCGATTAGCACTCCTTAAAACATAACAGTTTTAACATCTTTTCACATTGATGTAATTTGTCCCTATGGACCCCCTGCATGTTATTGTTTATATCTGGAAATTTCAAGTTAAACTGACAACTTAACAGCTAAAACCAATGCTAGTCATCGTTAGCGAGCAGCTTTTTGCCCTCCAGCAGAGAGATGGAGGATCTTACATCACGCTGCATACAAATGAAAACTGATCTGATTTGACTGATAAAATAACATTTGAACACATCTTACAAACAAATCTTAAAGTTCAATTTATGAGACCATTTATAGACTAGTGGACCACATAAATAGATCTGGTGGGCCAGATTTGGCCCGTGGAACTCAAGTTTGAAACCTGTGTAATATGATAATATTCTGGTAATATTTTATTCTCATAAATAAAAACAATTAAAGTCTTAGCCTGGCTTTAATATTCTGTTGTAATGTTTTCCTGAAGTCAAAGACCAAAGAAATAGAAGCTGTAACAAATGAGTGTGAAACAAGATGGCCGCCGCCCAGGATGCAGATTTTCCAAAACTGAAGTCATTAAAAATTAATCAATAAAATCAACGTATCACCCAGCCCTCATCTTGACAAATCCATTTAATTCTATGAAAAATGAATCCTGAAGGTGAAAAAGTCCAAACCTGAGTGAGCTGGTTGACCCGTTTGTAGACCTGGACCACAGCTTTGGTGATGGAGCCGTAGTATCTGCTCACATCCAGACCCAGCAGGTGGTCATGGACCAGACGCAGCACCATCAGGCCGGCGAACCGCGCCGCCGTGGCCGTGACGTTGCTGGTGCGTTGGCTGGTCCGGTAGTTCAGGTGGTCCATGTTGTCCAGGCCGGTGCCATAGTAAGGGTACGACTCGGACTTTAAACAGAACCACAGCAGAGTCATATTTAAGACCACAAAAAACATAAAAAAAATATTTATGTTTTAAGAGTAAAACTTACATTTGATTGGATGAAGTGGAAACACATGGAGGGAATTCCAGCAAAAGCCAGGAAAGGATAAGCAGGATCTTCTACAGACATCGTCCTCAGTCTGCAAGCAGGACAAACAATTTTCAAAAATACATTTTTTCTACGGCAGCGATGGATTTGGCTTTAAAAACTCAATTTAAGGCTGAGCGTTGCGTTAAACTGTGGGATTATTACACTACAAAAACACAAAGTCGTAAGTATTTTTGTCTAGATTCATTTACAAATATATGAAATAAGAAAAAACGACCTTACAAGCAACTTTTCAGCAAGAAATAGGAGCTTATTTAAAATAAATAATTGCTTAATATTAATGGAAAAAATTCTACTTCCATTGGCAGATTATTTCACTTCTAAAACATTTTTCCCATATTATAAATTAAATAATCTGCCAATGGAGTTGGTACTTTTCTCATGAATGTTAAGGAATTATTAACTTAAAGAAGAAAAACCAAAAGTTATTTAACTTTGATTCATGGTGTTCTTCCATGTATTTAGTTTTTGTTAGATTTCTGGGGGATTACCTAGTTGGTTATTTGTTATTTTATAGCTAAATACCTCTGTTTGTTAGTCTGTAATGTTTGTTTTATGTGCACTAAATGGTGAATTAAAAATAAATAAGAAAATCTCCCTGCATTTGAAAAAATAAAAACATTTTAAGGGGATCTCCTCCTTACACGCTGGACTCCCAGTTACTTCCTCCCATCGCCTGGTAAATTGACACAGATTTTCTAGGCATGTTCACCTGAAAGAAACAGACAAATGTCACAATAAATCAAATCATCACAGGATTAATTAAAATGAGCTTGATTATTTCCATTTGGACAACAATGGTTAAAAAGATACTTCGCTTTAATACCATTAAAAACCCACCATTTTGAAAAATACTGCAAACATTTGAGTAAAAAAAATCCTAACTGGCACTTTTATGTGTTTTCAATTTTGATAACAAAGACTTTATAATCTATTTTAATTGTTGTTTTGGTTGTTTGTTGATTTACTTGGCTATTTAAAATGTTTACCAGTTCAAATGCAAGCTATTCTTTAGAAATTGAAGGTGTTTTTGTTTATCTTTGGGAGGGAATACCAATACACCATTATTATTATCATTATTATTATTATTATTAGCTGAAAATGGTCTTAAAATGACAACATTATGATTTATTTCAGTAATTTTTCGCCCAGCAGCTTCAGTTAGTTTGCGGTTCATCATAAAGTTGTTTTACCTCCTTCATCGTGGTCTCGATGAGGCTGTACAGCAGCGGACTTGCAGAGGCGATAAACCTTTCTTGACCTGTCAGACATGAACTTCATCAGTTTTAGCCACTTTTCCCAACATGTTTTGTTTTTTACAGTGCGTACCCATGACTGCTCCATCCAGGTTGATGTATGTAAAGACACTTCGGTCAACAGAGGACATGTAACCCTAAAAACAACAAAACAAAAAGACTTATTTAAGCATTTTTCTACCTAAGCAGAAAGTTCAGTTTAAACATGTAGTTCTTACCTCCAGCCACTCGGTGGCGCCAACATTTCCAAACTCTCCTGCGCTCCAGCTTGCAAATATTATGCTTCTTCTCGGCCTGAAGTTATCTAAAACAGGGACAATTTTTAAAGTTTTAAACCAGCAAAATAGCTTAAACTTTTCAATATCAACATTCAGTTTTAATATAAAAGCATGTAAAGCTTTTATGATGAAGGAAGAATAAGGTTCCTACATATTTTTAGATAAAAATGTCATAACTTTCCAGATTTTTCTCAGAATCTTTTGTTCTGTTTGAAAATCAAAAACTCCTCACATTGTGGATTGAGGAACAAAGTTTCCCAAACCAAGTCATTATTTGGTTTGTATAAAATACTTTTTATAAAAATAGTAATTTTTGTGCAAAGAAACAAAAAATTCTTAAATACTAGAAACATTATTTGATGTAGGATTCTTGTACAAAGTGGAAAATGATGGGCTCACTCAAGCTAATCTGCTAATACAGAGCTAATTTTTCACTTAGCTCTTTAGCATTTTGGGTAATTTTAAAATCCATTAGCTTCCCTTAAATTATTTTTTCTGGATAAATTCTAAACCGCTAATTTAATTGGCTTTTTTGTAAACATTTAGTTGAATAAAATACAATATTTGTGCTGAAGTTTTGGTCACTGACTTAAGAATCCTTTAAGTAGTTAGATGTTTATATTTATGCTCTTATTTTTGCTTCCGTTTCCTCTTTCTTTTCCACCCAGTAACTTTATTTCAAATTTACAGGAGCAAAATAAAACATGGATAGTAAAGAACAAGACATAAACACATACAATATTTAAGGGGATTTAATTCCTTAAGAGTTAGCAAACTTCTTAGCTAGCAGCGCAAACAATAGCAAGTGGTCATTCACCATCATGGCAAACAACAGACTGAACTTTTAAATCTCTCCACAGAGTGCCAGTTGCATGGGTATCCAATATGGTTTAAGTTTGGGGTGACAGCTTCACCAATTTCACTGCAAAAAAACAACGTCTTACTAAGTATTTTTGTTCCAGTTTCCAGTGTAAATTTACTAATACAAATGACTCCCAGTTGTACAGTCTCTGTTGTAATCTTTGTTGTCCAAAAACTAAATTACAAGAAATAACCAAGAAATAACTCAGTAATTCATTAATATTGATGAAACAGTACTGGTTCCATTGGCAGACACATTCACTTACAACAAACTATTTTTCCCATGTTATAAGTAAAAAAATATTACAATTGAACTTGTACTTTCTCATCAATATGAATAAATTATCGACTAAAAATAAGTTCCTACATGTTACTGAAAAGTTATCTTTAAGTTAGTTCTGTCTTGTTTCAAGTGTATTAATATATTGGCACTAGGAACTAGACCAAAATACTCGGTAAGATTTTGTGTTTTTGCAGACTAGCAGCTGCCTAAAGTTTGTTTTTCCTGTTTCTTACATTCAGAGATAGAAGTAAATAACAGTAAATGTAAAATGAGTAAGAAAAACATGATATTTCCAGCTTCTTACCTTTTTTCACCATCTCCTGGAACGCCTTGGCCAGTTCGATCAGCACCGAGGTGCCAACAGTGGCCTTGGTGTAACCTCTCCCCCAGGCATCCCTCTGAGCTCCCAGCACAACATAACGATCTGAATATTCAAATTAAAACTCAGCTCAGCACCCTTATATTTAATAACTAAGATCACAAAACAACAGAAAAAACCTACCAGGATCAGTAAACCCTTTGATCACGCCGAACACATTGTGGATCTCCTTGTTGACCAACACGTTGTTCACCTCCACAGTGATGTTCTGGCTCCCACCCAGCTTGTAAACCACAGACTTTAGCTCACCTTTGAAGTCACTGTTTGTTTCTACTTCAGGGCCACCAATTTTCCTGAGAACGACAGACAGAAAAGTTCATTTTATGTTTTCAAACGAAGGGGTTTTAATGATTTATTGGAATTGCTCTTTTTTCGGTAGCGTGATTATGCTAAAACTGACAAAACTGGGTGCATAACTTTGTATTTATTGTGGATTTTCCATTTTGCACACTCATAATTATGCAAATAAACTCAGATATATTAATGCATCCTCCAACTCCTCCATCTGCTTTGAGAAACTTCTGGAAAAGTACTTGAAAGCCTTTATCTGTTCCAAATGTGATTCTTTCAACATTTAAATCAGTTTTAGAAAGTCTGAATGTATATATTATGTCTAAATCAGGGATGTAAACAATTAATCAACTTAAATTTTATTGTCAATGGTTGATTAGATTAAAATTGGTTGTAATCTATTAGTAACGACCACTCCTTCTTTTAATACTGTAGTTTGGCCGCCATCCAGCAGAGGGCGCTGCTGGTCATCTTTAAGCGGAACCGCTCAGAAACAAAATGGCGGAGCTCTCTCTGGACGGGAAAGAGAAGCAATTCAAACTGAGTCCTTTGTGGGACATAAAAAGCACTTTATACGGCTCTGTTATAAAATATAAACATTCAACAAGCTCATTAAATTTCACCTTAAGAGCTTCATGGCGAAGCAGCGTCAACCTCTCATTTAAAGACGACTGATGTGCTACGAAGGAGATGATTTAATGACAAAAGAAATGGCGCCAATAAGCACGGTTGATTGTCAAGACTGTGGTGAGTTAAAGCACTTTATAGAGCAAAGTTTTGACATTCCTTCAACCACAGACAACACAATATCTCTTTTCAAGGGGTATCAAGTACTTTGCATGTTTTATTCTTCTTTTAATTTTCTATTTAGCAACCTAAAAAGTTCCTGTTTTATTTTATTTTGTAAATATTTGTGAGTTTAACTATGTGAAAAAACACAATTTTCTGTTTAGTCTGTCAGTATTTGATACAATAAACACAAAATTATGTTAAAATTGAAAGTTTTCTTAATACTGTGAAAAATGTAGGCCTTTGTGTTATAAGGATAAAATCCAGGTTTTTCTTTGCTGTCAAAGAATTCAGAAATTTGTAGATTAACCTCAAAAATGTATTACAAAAAAAACAAGAATTAGAGTTTGAAAAGTTGAAAATGTGCTAAAAAATAAGAAATTTTGAGGTTAATCTAGAAAATTTTCTAGAAAAAACGTGGAAATTTTCTGTACTTGAAAAGTCAATTATTTCTGACATTTGAAGCTCAGAATTTTTTCAAAAGTTGAAATGTTTGTTACTTTTGAAACTCAGACTAAAGTCTGAGGTTTTTTTTGTCAAATTTGTGAGATTAATCTCAAAATTGTACTTTTTTTCCTCCTCTCTCTACAATGGGCCTAATACGCTGTCATAGTTATGCTTAGATTCACTCATTAATTGATAACTTGCATCTCTTTTCTGAATCCACAATGAAATTCAATCTTGAGCACCCAATTACTGTTTTTAAGAATAACTTAAGTCGTGCCGTATAACCTCCACCCTGAAACAAAAACTGTTTGGCTACATCCGTCATGCAGTATCGTCTGTTTTAATTGTAAGTTGCTAACATTAGAAGAGTTGTAGCCGAGCTGGCAGTGATGGTCTGGGCCGGGATTTTTGGGAGGCCAGCTGACTCCGTAGGGGCAAACAGAGTGTGGTTGAAGGACGGGAATCCAGTAGTGTAGGGGTCCCCAGAACCAAGATGGACCTGGAAACAAAAGATGAATGAATAGGAAACCTTTTTTTTTTGTTTCCTGCTGGGTGAAGTCCCCTTGCAGGGTGACGGCGCACACGCAAGAGGTACTTGGTGGAGGGCAAAAAGCTCCTCGCCGATGATGACCACCATTGGTTTTATCTGTTGAGTTATCTTAAATGTATATGTGAGATATATATATATATATATATATATATATATATATATATATATATATAAAAGAAAAGGGACACAGTGCTTTGCTACTAATAGTCAACACTACAACAAATAGATAAGGTCAGAAAAAGTTTTTAACTAAAAAAAACAATAGCGAGGGAGAGGAAAGTAATCAGTTATGCTAGATTGACTTTGATAACCGTAACATGTAGATGCGATGTGAAATTCTGCGCGTTTCGGTTCAGTTACAATATAAAAAAGGCGACCAACTCTGACAGAGCATCAGCAGCGCAGGTATTTAAATTAGCTAAACAATTTAAACACCTGCGCTGTAGCTAATAGCTAATCTACTACAGTAATCACTTATTAATAATTGCAAATAAACATAAAGCCTAAAAACTAGGGATTGATCGGCACACCTCTACTAAAAACATAATACTGTAACAGACTGAATGTTCTCTTCTTTGTGTGGGAAATGCTTGAGTGTTTTTTTTGGTGCTGAATCTTGATTCATTCGTGGCATTGTTGTCAGTCAGTTGCTATGGCAACGAGTCTGCATGTAACATGGCCGACACAGAACAGGGAAAAAAAGAATACAACCATTGATTTTTAGTTATTCTTAACGGTTTTTCTGCGTTATTTTCCCCTTTGCTTTGGTGCACTGCACTAAATTAATAATTCCTACATTTATAGGTGCCATTTTGTTGACAGGATTGTTCTACCGCGGCAGCACGGCTACGGATGGCATGTAAAAGAATCGTCTTTTTGCCCTCCAGCATTGTGCCTGAAATTTCCGGATGAAAACAATAATGTGCAAGGAATCTATATTTGAGTTTATGTTTTGAACTGACGTGTCCGTAGAGTTCGGTGTCTGTAACCAGCTTGTAATCTTCAGTATCAAGGTAGATCAGAACAGCAGAGGCTCCCATCTTGGCGGCGTTGTCCACCTGAAACACAAAAACAGAATGGTCAAACAACATTCTTTTCAACATTTTCACTTGCTTGTAGAAAAAGTCAATAATAGTGAATTTAAAGCAAGTAATGATCAACCTCAAATTGTTGCTTATTGGACCTATTCTAGTTATTTCCAATTGGACAAAAACTGCAGAGAGCAAAACTGGAGCTAAAACTGTCTCATAACTCACAGATGCACAGACTAAGATTCACAAATGCAAAAGATTAGATCCACAAATGCACAGCATGAGAATCATATGATTGGCTGAAACAAGAAAGCTATCTGATCGATTGCTGATCACCCAATCAGATAAGACCATTTGTTAAAAAAAGACTGTGAATGTTGAGATGTCAGGGGAGTCTCAAAATTCACACACAAATGCAGCGTCCCCACGCTTTTCTGGGTAAAAAAATCAATTGAGAAACGCACACTATCCAGTGTTTCATGTGTAATTTTGGTGTTTTTAACACAACATTATTGATGTTGTGCATTTTAGCTGTGTTTAATTTTACAACTGCTAACTGCTCATTGGAAGCTACAGCTTTTAGCTTGCTTACTTATTGTATTTTATTTAATGTGTAGGAGCAGAAGCTACTCAGCTGATGTTAACCACCAACTCGATTTCCTCTTTTGTTAGACTCACTCAGGTTCACCGTATTTATTCTGTCATGAAGACAAACCTACCAGAGCTGAGACAAACATAGAAGGGTTACATATTTAATCAGTTTGTTCTTTGGGAACAGTCGAAAGTTCGTTCCCAAAGGAAGTGCTCTTGTCCTTGGTAGTGCCTTGTGAAATCGCCATCAAATTAATATCCATGTCTTTGAAGACAACCGGCTCCTTTTCAAGGCAAACTTCCCCAGCCAGGTCAGTTTGTTCTTTGGGAACAGATGAAGGTTCATTCCCAAAGGAAGTGCTCTCCTCCTGAGAGACACTCTGGTCCAAGTCCTTTCCAGGAAGGAAATAGTCAAACAGTTTCTGCATTCTTGTTGTGACCAGATAACCAAGTCCAAAATCGACTGGAAAAATTAAGGGGTAAGGCATTTTGTGTCCAACGCGAAGCTGCGTTTCACAGAATTGTTTGGATCCTGACTGATTATGAACTGATGATGAACATACAGAGATTGACAATAGATTTTTATATGATTGAACTGTTTCATTTTTGGTTTTCCATATCTGCTGTGGTATAAGTTGACTTAAGCCAATTATCCATTATTATTTTTAAACAATCCTCTGGTGAGCTAGCTGTAGCGTCGCACTTTGAGCTAACGTAACAAATAAATGGTTGTTTATGTGCAGTACCTCGTGGACCACTAGGGGGCACCCGCGACCACCACAGTTTGAGAAAGACTGATCTACACATACCTGTTGTGCAAAAGTGATTTTTCCAGCTCGCAGCAGCAGGACGGCGCCTTTCAGGTCAACTTTCCCCTGAACAAAGTCCAGATCCTTCTGACGGCCGTAGTTCCCGTACACCAGCCGGCCCTGCAGGCGTCAGGAGAAAATGAAGCTTTAATTGCAGCAGAACGGCTGCATCTTATGGTTCCAACTCTGAGTTGGCTAAGAATCAGAAACTGCAGGTTAAAGATTTAAATATTGGAGACCAGAACGTTGTGGTTACTTGTCAACAAGCAAACCTATCTTTAATTTTTTCCAATAATGTAATTCAATAACTTTTATTTTATGAAAACAAAGCCATTTATTTATTTGTTTTCATTGGGTGTAACCTGAAATAGACAAAATATTAATTTTATTTAAGTAAATGCTGAATCCAAAAATTCTTTGTGATGAGAAAAAGTTCGCATTTAATTGCTTGTTTTTTTTTGTTTTTTTTTGTTTTTTATGATTTACAGAATTTTTTAAGCTTGTAAAAGAGGTTTAAAATTGGGGAAACAATTTCAGCGACTTTTTTCTTTACCGAAACTGTTGTTTACCAATTTATTTAATTAATTAAAATTTATTTATTTTCATATTTCTGGTTATTCAAACTAAAGGGATATTTTTTTTTATAATTTCATTGTACCCACAAAAGGTTAATTAGGTTTTGACTAATGAAAAAATCATATCTTTTCAAATTTTTTATTTATAAAGATGCCAATATTGTAATAAGACAAAAACAGATATTTATATGTAGTATTATAATTATTTTTTTTCTATATTTGTGTAATATTCATCTTTTTAGGATTGTTTTGCAAGTCTGTGGTTTTTTTTTATTTTATTTTTTACTTAAATACAATGGCTTTGTTTGGTACATCTCTAAATTTATTTATTTTTTTCATTTACATTTTCATCATATTATAAACTATTGATATGCATCTGTGCATCAAAATTTAAAAAGCTATTGTATGACAGAAAAAATATCAAAGCATTACATTTTATCCTATGTTACTATTTAACTATAAGATAAAATAGATTATAATTGGGTTTCACAAAAGATGAAATAAAAATATTTCCCAAATTTAGTATATAAACAAACCCATAAGTTAACGCAAAAGAGAAGTTTTTTGGTGATTCAATGCAGAAGTGAATCACTGTAATAAACAGACTTACTGTAAGGATTTAATGCAGGTGAGGTTTACTGGAAAAGAAGCCTAAACAGTCTAATAATACCCAGAGCCGTTCTGTAACAGTTTAAGTGTCAATAAGCTAACGGTCTGGTTGAGATTAATGCCACGTTTAAACCGATTTAAGGTGTTTAAACCTGTAATACGGTCTAAGGCGTCAGAAGACCGAGAATCCTTCAGAATGGTCCTGAGAAGTTGAGAGGTTAAAGGTCACGTCCTAATAACTCACCTCAACTCTGCCCGGTTTGCTGTAGGCCAAATATCCCACAGGCTTGATGACGTCTGAACCAAAGTAAACGGTGTTGGGGTTCTGGCTGTAAAAGCAGAAGGCGAAGCTATCAGTGGGTTGTTCACTTATATAATAAAATTTAAGACCACGATACAAGTGTCTTAAACTAATGAATAATTATCGATATCGACTGATATTAAATAATTATCTATCAGTCTATATCGATAATTATTCATTAGTTTTTTGTTTTAAATGTCTGAAATACTACCAAGCTAGTGGCATGACCACCTGTTTTATCAACAGTTTTCACTCTATCCTGTAGATTTTTATTTTTAAGCAGTTATGAAGCACAGAGGGGGAACCTGAAACTGCTGCTGAACTGTCAGTTACTCAGCATGTCGTTGCTAGGTAACCACAGTTGGGGGGGGGGAGGCTGGGGGGATCTTGAAACTGCTTCTTACCCAGCAGATTGTTGCTAGGCAACCAAAGACTAAGCCAGTTGGTTGATTCCACCAACATTTCTTAGCTGGCTGTGAGAGGTTGAGCAGATAGAGTGGTTCTGGATCGGAGTTCAGTGAATATTCTACACATTGAATATTATATATTTATAGATTTCCTATAAATTGCTCTATAGAAGAGACATCCTGTCGGATCGGTACGTTTTTTTGTAAACCAGAGAAATCGTAATGTCACCGACCTGTCGGGCATCTGCAGCTGAACGTAATGGATGTCTGTCCACGGCGTCATCCCCAACGTCTTGAATGTATCGAAAATCTTGTTCGCCAGACTCATGTCTTCCTCACTTCCTGCCGAGCGGTTCTGCTTATCAAAATCCCTGCAGAGCAAAAGGGAGGCGTTTGATTTTTTGTTTTTCCCATTTGGAAAAAAATATTTACCCTGCTCTGTAGATTCTCCAACCTTTTGCACTTCATGCCGCATAAAACTTTCACAAATACAAAGTTGAAATCTAGACATAGTCTTCTATTGTTGTTTTGTCTTTTTTTTTTTTTAAATCTCAAAATTTATTTTAGCTGTAAATATGACTCTTCTTTTAGGGGAAAGTAAAACTGTACTTCTGCAGGCCAATGTAAATAAACTGGTAATGATTATTTTAATTATTGATTAATCGGGTCAAAAATTGGCACGGAAATTATACCAATTTTTCATTTAACCACTTAAGATCTTTTTTATATAATAGAAGCACATTAAAATATTTAATTAATTAAATTCCTTTTTAAAATAAGAATGTAAGCATTAAATAATGTAGACTATTAGCTAAAGCTATTCTACCTGAGGAGTTTTGGGTAAAACATATTGATAGACATGATTTTATATGCAAAATGTGCATATACTTTGTACAGTTTGGGCTTAATTACTGACCTCAATAAGTTATTGCAGCAAATTTTTTGAGTCCATATACCAATTAACGATTAATCCATTACTGCATTAGTTGACAATTTTTTCAGCCATAGAACTGTAAAAAAAATCAGATTTAAAAAGTCAACATTAAATCTGCTCCCTTTGACTTTAACAAACCACCTACACCTGGTTATCTGATGATTCAACTAGTTTGACTCCCAGTGTTTACATGGTGAGCTGTGTCCTCAGCGTTAGTGTGAGAATAATTAAATCTGACGCCGAGCGCTTCTACGACCTACTTAAGAGTCTTTTTGAAAGCTTCGCTGCTGAGTTTGCTCGTTAGGAGTTGAGAGACGTCTTTCCAGGACAGAGTCAGCGAAGGTTTCCCTGGATCCATCCCGCCGATTTTATCCGTCGAACTCGGTTCACAGTCAGACTCAACCTTGGGTTTATGATGGCTGATGAAACCAACCAGGTAGCCTGAATGAGACACACATGATATCCTTACACCTCACAGTGTGAAATGCCAACAAATGTGGACCTACATAACATATTGTATACATTAAAAATATATAAATTAGGGCTGCAACTAATGATATTTTAGTAAAAGATTATTCTATGTTGGTGATTAATCAAGTAATTGGATTAAAAAATGGCACGTTCATTTAACCACTTATTTTACACAATATTAAAATTAGGAAAAATGCAAATTAACATAATTATTTTTTTCTTAAATAAAAAAATAAACGTTTTATTGCCTAAAATGCAACAACGTAGTATACTTTTAGAGTATTAATTATCATTTGTAGCAAAAATAAATACTAAATAAATTCTTGGATACTTAAATAATCTTTCTACTTCACTTAATTATCAAAAAAGCATATAGCTGGGATGTTGACTATTCTTTTCAATTTACCTGTTAACTGGACAGCAAAAAGGTGCTTAAGGTTTTTTTATTTGTTTTTTACAAAAAAAACTACAGTTAATGATTAATCGATTACTAAATTAGCTGATGATTACTGGTATGATAAATTCATTACGATGAATTGTTTCAGCCCTACTTCAGTTCAATTTAATTGATTCCAAAGGGAAATTAAATGTCTTAACTCATATTAATTCAAGTTCTTCAAATATAAATACCATCTGACCTCTTTTGCAACAAATGAAGAATTTCAATGTAGAAAACTGTCATTTACAGCATTAAACGTCACGTTAAAAAATGAGAAACCGTAACGAACCGCCAAGAAACACCATCAGGGTTCCCAGGATTACGAACGCCACGGTGCGCCTGCTGTGATGCAGCGGCGCCGGCCTGAAGCTCGGCGACCCGGGCGCCTCCGCCGCCGTGTCGCCTTCTGCGGCGTAGTCAGACAGGTTGACCTCGGCGTGCCTCTCGCCGTTCTCCGATGGCTGCAGCGTGAACCTGCTGTACCGCTCGCTGTTCATCTGGAGACGCAATCAGGGCAGAAAGCCTTGAGTTTTTGAAACAGTGTTGCTAGAGTTGTGTGAAAAGTTGCTAAATATGGCGATGAAGTTGTCTCTTAACTCCGCCCACTTTGGTGAAGTTGTTAAAAATTTGTCTGGGCTGAACTTATGCCTTCATTATAGTTACACTTTAAGGTAAAGAGAAATTATTTAAGAATGACAGAAAATACAAAATACTAAATCTTACCAAGTGGTTTTGTCTAGTTTGTAATTCAAATATCCTATTATACCTGAAAAAAGATACAACTAACTTAAAAGTAAAGCAAGATATATAAGCTTTTTTTATGACAATAATTAATGAACTCCGGGTTAAAAAAATTTAGTAGTTCGGAGGCAGATTTTTATCTTCTTTAAGAAGAAATGTCTCCTGTTTGAATAGGAAAAATCTGCCAGTGGAACTGCTGTTTGTATCTGCATTCAAGAATTATTGACTTAAAGCAAGCTCATATATCTTACTGAGAATTTACTTTTAAGTTAGTTTATATATTTATTTATTTGCACTAGAAACTAGACAAAATGCTTGGTAAGATGTTTTTTTGCAGTGTGAGTTTTGTTCTTTAACACTCACCATCCTCTGAAACTGCGACCTTATCTTGTCCATTGATGCTGTTCTGGAGAGAAATATAAAGAGGTCACAAAGTTATAATCTCACATTCAGTTCAATTAAATTATCACTTTTTTCAAAAGGAAAATTAAATTTAATGATGATACTGTGGGCAGGAAGGTCCTAGTGCTAATCAGCTGCTCCCGGTTGTAAAAACAGCAGGGCTGAACAATATGGCTGAAAAACTTATCACGATGTAAGCGTTTGATATCAGTCGATATCAATAATTATTAATTCGTTTTCTTGTTTTAAATATCTGAAATATTGGCAGTTTGGTGGTGTGACCTTCCCTGTTTTATCCAGTTTTCATTTCATGACGTTTTTTATTTTAAAGAAGTTATGAGGTGGAACTTCAAACTGCTGCTGCGCCCGGTTACTCAGCAGGTTGTTGCTAGGTAACCATAGAACGCGCGAGTTGCTAGGTAACCACAGAGCAGTGAGTCACATGGATTCCACCAATCTTGCTTGAATTGAATATTCTATCATGCTACTGATATTAATCAGGTGTCTAGCATGATATGTTATTGATTTGTTGTCCAGCCCTACCTTGTTGCCATTGTTACAGACTATAACTTTATAGTAAAAGAAAGAACTCAACATTTGCAGGAGAAAAAAAGACAGAAAGAAACACCAGGAAGTGTTGAGGATGTGTGGAGAGTCACGTATGCTTTTTTTTTTTTTTTTTTTTCCAAGAGAGGGGGGAAAGTTTTCCGTGTAAACCTCCTGGGGTTGGGGTGGATCAGAATACACTGTTTAAAAAAACTGTTTAATACACAGAGTTCTGTTTGTGAATGAAACACTGTGTTCCTTGTGTAACGGATTATGGTCAAGTCTAGCTTTTTACTCGCTTTTCTGTGACTAATAATATCATTTCAGCTGAATAATATCAGATAACTGCACACAAAAACACTTCAGCTTCAACAGTCAACAAAATCTCAAATTTGTTTAAATAATAATTTAAATCACATATGTATTTCTGTGAGCCTCAGCTACATAGACAAAGTGTAATTATTTTGTCATTAACTGAGAAATATAATGTTAGCTTTGGGTTAACATAAAGGTTTACCAAAACTGTGCATTTGTTTTTTTGTTGTTTTTTTATTTTATTTACAAAGACCTTTGTGGATCTGAATAAAACAAAACTATTGCTTTATTTATTTTTATTATTTTTTTCAAAAAATAAACTATGGCAAGTCAGTTAAAAGAAACACTCATTCATAAAACGTTTGTAAAACGATCAAAAGCTACATAACTTTAAATTTTGGTCCGGCTGATTTTTTTAATATTAAATGTGTGATATTTTGATCAGTAACTCATTACTTAAGTCGCCTTTTTACCAGATATTTTTTTACTCTTGAGTAATGTCTTGGATTGCTAGTTTTTACTTTTACTTGAACAAAAATACATGAGTAAAATTTTTGGGTACTCTGCCCACCTCTGGTTCTACCTGAAAAACCAGTAATTCCTGTCATTTTTTAAGAAAGTAACTGCTTCGTTTAAAACATGGTTGGGTGAAACAACTGACAGAGCTAAGATTACACAATGAGTAGCTCCTTCCTGTCTGAACAGAAGCAGGAAATAGTAAGAGACTTTAATTGTTGCAACTTCCAGTTTGGTAGATTTATTTTAATGATCACACAGAACTTTCTTCTTCTTTTTTTGTTTTGTTTTTAATAAATAGACGTTGATAACCTAAAAAACATTGAGCGACAAACCTGGTTTATCACCAATCTGTTTATATAGTTAAACAAAATAAAGAGGGAATCTAAATAAAAGAAGGTACAGCAATGCATCTTGTCTTTATCAATTATTTTACAACTAGAGATAAGTATTATTAAGGATTCCGGAAAATATTTAGTAAAAAATAGTAGATTTCTACAAAGCAAGGAAATATGCTAATTTATTATCTCATAATAGCTTTAACTGAAGCCTGAATGAGAACAAACTCTCTGGCTGCATCAGATGACTCGTTTCAGCGGTGATTCAATTACTAGAAACCATGACTGGTTGTTTCATTTGCAGGAAAAATATAATTATTTATATACCACAAGCAAAAACAGGCCGTGTTTTTGCAATAAAGTAAAAAGCTGACGGATGTGGGAAGCTAATTCAAATTTTAGGCCGAATATTGGTGCATATTGGAGAAGAGTCATTAATATCAAACATTGTTGTGACTTTGACAGGAATTACGTAAAGCGCAATGCGCCTAAAATATATCCGAGCCTGCAATACATTAATAAAATTAATATATGAAAAGCGTAATATAGTGTAGCTCACCTTAAAGTCGCTCTGGATCTGCCTGAATGAAGGAAATCTAAACGCACAAAACGACAAGTCCTTTGCAAGGGTGGCAGATTCAGGAAGTCCTTCTTCTTCGTTCTTTTTTTTACTGGTGCAATACCGCCACCAACCGGTGAGAAGTATAAATCAGAACGCTTAAGCTCAAAACAAACAAACAAAAAACTAAATTCAGAAGTTAAAAACGAGGCTTTTAGTTTTTTCTCAACATTTATATGTTTTATTACACCCACTTTTCATTTTATGCACAAATGAATACAGCCAATTATATTTTTTTACTCACTGTAAAGTGCTATAACAATGAGAGTCCTATATTTAACTGTAATAAACCAGCTGATAGCAGAAATGCTATTACAAGTGGTGTTGCTCAAACTAAGGAGTATACAGTATATACATTTAAAATAAGGAAAACTAACTTACAAGTAACATTTCAGCAAGAAATAGAAACTTGTTTTAAGTAAATAATTACTTAATAATGACAAAAAACAAGTTACATTGGCAGATTATTTAACTTATAACAAGACATTTTTCCCATATTATAAGTGAAATAATTTACCACTAAAACTAGAACTTTTTCATCAATATTAAGAAATGATTTACTTACAACAAGCTCCTAAAAGTTACTTGTAATTTAGTTTTGTCTTATTTTTGTGCCAGTGGGAACAAAAGGCAGAAAACCGAGAAGACAAGCTGAAAGAAACATTTCCTGCAGTGCAATAGCGGCTTCTGATACGGGCGAATTGGGCAGATGCCCAGGGCGACGTCTTCTCTAGGGCAGCATGAGCAGTTTTCTAATTATATCTGTTTAAAAAAAGTAATTATTTTATGAAGGGTAGGACTTTTGATAAAAGTTATGGAAATTAATTTGTGTGTTTAAGTGTGTAATTACAAAAAAAGATGAAAAAAAAAAGTTGTGCAGTGAAATTTGTGTATTGATCAAAATGGAACTGTGCACATAACTACGTAAATGTTTGACAAATGTTGCAATTTATTTAATAGTGTTAATTTTCTACAGGAAATCTACAAAAAAAATTCTATTTTTGTATTTTTATTGCATTTTTAGCTGTATTTATAGCATTCTTCTCTCTTCCACATTTTTATATAAATATATAATATACAATATTTACATAAATAAAATATTAAAAGAAGTCTTGGAATGCGTGTCTGTGGTACAATGCTATCATCATGGCATTATGTTTCTATAAATAACATCGACACAGTTTAACTGTTACAGCTCCCTTTTTCTATATGATTGATAATAAATAAATATTAACCTAAGAAATATTTGAAATCCCCTTGCCTTTTTAAATTAATTAAAAAAAAATACTTTACTGAGAGAAATAAATTTACCTGCATTAAGGAATTTTGACCTAATTAAAACTATAATAAATAATTATATTTAGTATAAATTGACAGTTACAGTTCTCTTTTAATTGGTCAGACTTTAGAAGCTTTTAAAAAGGAAAAACTCTGTATATTCATCTGCTTTCTGACAACATATTGCAATAAAATATTAAAAATAATGATTGAAAACTCATTCGGGAAGAAAACTATAAAAAATGTACAAACCCCCTTTAAAAGTGATGCAACTAAAGCCTCATTTTCTCCATAAAAATCGTTTCTTTGTTCACTTCAAGGTCAAGTTGATCACCCGATTGTTCCGTCTAATCAGGAACAAATGAATGACTTTTCTGACTGGTCAGCAGTTTATCTTATCAGATCTTGTTTCCATCTTGGAGCGGCTGATACAAAAACTTTAGATCTTCATCTCTTTGTCCTTTCTTGCATCGTTTAGTCGTGATCTTTTTGCCACCGCCAGCAGATTCTCCATCCTGAAAGACGAACAGAACAGCAGAGCGGTTGGAAAAACTCATCATCTACAGAAAACTGAATTATATGAGCAGACAAAATGTTTCCAGTGTTGCAAAACAATAAGATGGTGTGAAAAATGTTTTCACACTTTCCTGATTTCATATGTTTTTCACACTTTGGTGTTTTCACTTTAAATTTTAGTCAAAAATACCACAAATAAACACAAAATTCAGCTTTTAAATGAAAGCTTTTATTTTTAAAGAAGAGCTAGCTCCTTTTCATAAAGTAAAATTAATTTATTTTATTCACATCATTTGATAATGCACCATTTATCTAATTATAGATAATACTTAATTTACATTATGTATTGAAAGTGAATGAATTATAAAACTGAATCCATTGTTTTTGTAATTTCAATTTAATTCAGTAAACGATGAAAATGGGTTTAATTAGGAAAAGTGAAATAGAAAAGCATTACATTAAGAGTTTTAATGTAAGCAGAGTAGGTGGTAGAAAAAGAGGTGGAATTAAATTAGTTTGTATTGTTTCTCTGTGTTGAAGCTTATTAGTAATAATTGCTAATATTTTTATTAAT